AAATGTTCAAACGACTTCTCAATAACCAAAAGGACCAGGGTACTGAAATTGGGCCTGTAGCATGCTGGGATGAAGGACTACCAAGCTAGTTCAAATGAATGACCTTGATCCACTTTCAACCTAATGTCCTTGTTTGACAATCAAGGTCACAGGCGTCATATGTTTAAATCTTTTAATAGGTTCTTATGAAATCTTAAGATTAAAACCAGGTGATCGATGCAGGCCCATTGGCCCTCTTGTTTGACAGATTTCTTTGAAACTTAGTAGGCTAAATAATCATGATATGTTGTTGTGTTTCCTTTAAAAAAAATTCGATTCAATGATTTTTGCAAAAGTAATTGCCTTTGTTCATTTCAGTATTTGATTTTTGTCCTGCAATCTCCTCCTACATTTTGCGACGGATCTCTTTGAAACTTGGTATACATTATAATCATGATATGAAGTTGTGTCTCCCTTAAAAGAATTTTGACCACTCTTTGAATGATGCAGATCTTATTACAATGTAAGAAAGTATATAACACTATATGGCATTCGACGGGCATATATTGTTCCGCCCTGCAGTACTATATATTTATATAAATATGTACCCATGGGAGTATTTTCATTATTTTTTTTGATGATGGACAACCTTAATTACACACAACCAAAGTTTGAAATAGTTCATTATGAAATTTCAGGGGTGAATGAGTTAAATATAACCTGTCTGTAAATACAGTCAAATCTGCAAAAAAATGCAAGCCTGCCATGGAGAACACTGAACATCTGTCATTAACTAGTCAAACCTGCCTTAGAGACCACCAGGATATAAGTCACCTGCTAAACAGACTACTTGTCTATAGTCAAACCTGCCTAGGAGACCACCATGATATAAGTCATCTGCCACACAAGCTACCTGTCTATAGTCAAACCTGCCTAGGAGACCACCATGCTATAAGTCATGTCCGGTGTCTTTTTTTTACTTTTAACAACTTCTTCTCTGTCACCAAAAGGCCTAGGATAAGGATATTTGGCCAGTAGCATGCTGGGATGAAGGGCTACCAGGTTTGGTCAAATGATTGACCTTCATCCATTTTAAGGTCACAGGAGTCAAATATGTTAAAATCTTTTAATAATTTCTTCTGAACATGAGGCCCAATGGGCCTGCATCGCTTACCTAGTATTATTCTCACACTTGTAGCCTTAAAAGTGATCTAAAAAAAGCTACAGGCAAAATATCAGTATTTATGACTAAAAGTCATTCAAAAGATCCTATTAAAAGATTAAGCAAGAGGCCAAATGGGCCTGCATCGCTCACCTGGTATGAATCTCACACTTGTAATCTTAAAAGTGGACTAAAATACAGCTACAGGCAGAATATCAGTGTTTGATTCATAAGAACCTATTACAAGATGTAAACATGACACCTGTGACCTTGAATGTCGAACAAGGACATTAGGTTGAAAGAGGGTCAAGGTCATTCATTTGAACAAACTTGGAAGTCCTTCATCCCAGCATGCTACAGGCCCAATTTCAGTACCCTGGGCCTTTTGGTTATTGAGAAAAAGTTGTTTGAAGATTTAAAGACATTTGACCCTTGTCACCACAAAAGGTTGGTCAAGGTCATTCATTTGAACAAACTTGGTAGCCTTTCATCCCAGCATGCTACAGGCCCAATATAAGTACCCTGGGCTTTTTGGTTATTGAGAAAAAGTCATTTAAATATTTTAACATATTTGACCCTTTGACCTTTAAAGTGGGTCAAGGTCATTCATTTGAACAAACTTGGTAGCCCTTCATCCAAGCATGGTACAGGCCCAATATCAGTACCCTGGGCCTGTTGGTTAATGAGAAGTCGCTTGAAGATTTTAAGACATTTGACCCCTGTGACCTTGAAAGTGGGTCAAGGTAATTCATTTGAACAAACTTGGTAGCCCTTTATCCCAGCATGCTACAGGCCCAATATCACTACCCTGGGCGTTTTGGTTATTGAGAAGAAGCTGTTTAAAGTAAAATATTGACACTGGACACCGGACGACGCACCACCGCATAAGCTCACTTGGCCCTTTGGGCCAGGTGAGCTAAAGACACTAGACCCCTGTGACTTTGAAAGTCAAACAAGGTCATTACGTTGAACAAACTTTATAGCCCTTCAATTCAGCATACACTTGCGTAATATCACTACCCTGGACATTTTTTTTTTATTGAAATTAGGTCAGTAAAAGGTTTATACATATTTGACCAAATGTGACCTTGAAAGTGGGACAAAGACATTAAAAAAAACCCACCTTGATAGTCTGTCATACAAGCATGCTACTGCCCAAATATCAACATCCTGGGCCTCATTGTTATTCAGATTAAGTCGTTTAAAGATTTAAAACATATTTGACCCTGTGACCTTGAACAAAGGTCAAGGTAATTCATTTGAACAAACTTGGTAGCACTTCATGCCAGCATATACTGCCTAAATATCATCATCCTAGACCTTTTTGTTTTTCAGAAGAAGTCCTTTCAAACATATTTAACCCCAGTGACCTTCAATATAGGTCAAGGTCATTCATTCGAATAAAAGCGGTAGCCCTTCATACCAGCATGTTTCTGGCCAAATATCATAACCCTGGACTTTTTGGTTATTCAGAAGAAGTTGATTAAATGGTTTTCAAACCAATTGACCCCAGTGACCTTGAATGAGTGAAGGTCATTCACTTGAACAAACTTGGTAGCTCTTTATCCCAGCATGCTACTGGCCAAATATCATCACCCTGGGCATTTTGGTTATTCAGTAGATGTTGTTTAAAGGGTTTTCAAGACAATTGACCCATGTGACCTTGAATACTTGCGAAGGGTATTCATATGAACAAATTTGGTAGCCCTACATTTTAGCATGCTATTGGCTAGATATCAACATTCTGGGCCTTATGGTTTTTCAGAAGAAGTGGTTTAAAAGTTTCAAACATATTTGACCCCTGTGACCTTGAATATAAGCCAATGTCATTCATTTCACCAAACTTGGTAATCCTTCTCGTAGCATGCTACTGGCCAGATATCAACATTTTGGGCCTCATGGTTATTCAGAAGAAGTTTAAAAGATTTTAAACATATTTGACCCCTGTGACCTTCAATATAGGTCAATGTCATTTCTTTTACAAATTTAGTAGCCTTTATGCCAGCAACCTACTGGCCAAATATCATCACCCTGGGCACTTTGGTTATATTACATATTTGACCCCTGTGACCTTGAATATGGGTGAAGGTCACTTATNGTTAAAAGATTTAACAAGAGGCCTAATGGGCCTGCATCGCTCACCTGGTATTAATNGGTAGCCCTTCATCACAGTTTTCTTCTGGCCAAATACCAATTTCTATAATAAGTTACCTGTGAATAGCGTTACGAAATATAAATAACTTAAATTACAGAAATACCACTTACCATCCTAATATTCTTCATTGCAGAAAGCATTCTTTTAGGGTGGGGTTTCAAAATTGTACAAATGGAGGGTCTGACACCAAGCCAAAATGAGTTTAAAACTCAGAAATGGTTCAGATCTCCAACCTTTAACCATACATACAGTTGCTGAGTAGAAGAGACGAATACACATTTGCTGCCAGGATGGCTCTGAATTGCTGGCCCATCCTTGAGGACCCTTAGGACTTAGTTCAGTTTCTGGGTCATAACTTTGAAATCCCAACCCCTTTAACAATATGTACAATTGCTGGGTATACAGAGACAATACTGAATTAGAATTGGGGACTGGTCCTATCACCGTCTGAAGTGGAATTGTTTGTTTATAGAAAATACAGCGTGCTGACTTTTCAGGCTGTTGGCAATGCATGCAAGTATATCAGCATGTTAAAGTCTGCATACCGGTATATGTGCTGATTTAATACCGTAAGAAATATTTCCAAACTGAAAAGCTTGTTTTTTGAAGTTTTACAGTTAGTGACCATGTAATATGATGGAAGTGGTCAGAATGCTAAAAATAACAACACTATAATGTAGCAGGTTTAAGTGTATTTATTGAGATATGTAATCTTGTATTACATGTAGCAGATGTATTTATGGGTACAGTCGATATAGTTTAGGTATAGTGCCCCTCCTATCTGAAATACCAGGGACACAGTTTTCCATTATAAGGATGACCAGTTATACCCGATCACCTGGTCGTGGTGGTGGTGTTGGTGGTGGTAATGCTTACATAAAGAAAACCTCTAACATATAATTTTAAAACTACTGGTATTTACTGGTGAAATATATATACCTCTGAAACTACTGGTATTTCCTGGTGAAACATATATACCTCTGAAGCTACTGGTATTTCCTGGTGAAACATATATACCTCTGAAACTAATGGTATTTCCTGGTGAAACATATATACCTCTGAAACTACTGGTATTTCCTGGTGAAACATATATACCTCTGAAACTACTGGTATTTCCTGGTGAAACATATATACCTCTGAAACTACTGGTATTTCCTGGAGAAACATGTATACCTCTGAAACTACTGGTATTTCCTGGTGAAACATATATACCTCTGAAACTACTGGTATTTCCTGGTGAAACATATACCCCTGAAACTACTGGTATTTCCTGGTGAAACATATATACCTCTGAAACTACTGGTTTTATCTGTTATAATGACAGATACCAGAAATTAATGGCAAAGTTACCTTTTCTATGCAAAATGCTTCTGATATGATGGTTGAATTTTCTGTATTTTAATATTTGACAACACATTTAAAACTGAGGTGTTCTGTGATATATCTGGACAGTATGTGAAAGGATACTGAAATCAAAAGGTACCAGACATACAATGGGTGTTGTAATAATAATATCTACATCCATTATACCCTATGTGAAAAAGAGAATAGCATTTTAGCACATCATTCATTGTGATATCCACTGAATATATCCATGTCATATTTATTGCGTATTAACCCATGTAATATGACCTATCAGCTCTGTGATTGGTTGTAAGTTTCAATTCACATCTAGGACAAGTACATGACGTCACAGACTTACGCACTAGAGTCAAAATGGCGGCTTTTTACATCTCAAGGTTGCATGAAAATTATCGTTTTACACGAATAAATGCCAAAAATACAGAAAGGTGGGAAGCAATTGAATAAGAAATGTATTGGGATTATATCAAGGTTTTACTGCAAATGAGGTGCATTAGATAAAGGTTATATTGTACTACAGTACTATATAAACGAGAGGCATTATATTAAATGTTTTACTGTATATAAACAAAAGGCCTTATATCAAGGTTTTACTGTACAAATAACATTGACTTCCCATTATCACAGTATGCTTTACATACATAATTACTCTTCATATACTAGCTTACACATCCACTCCCGATACACATTACCATACAGACATATATTTATCATTACCATACAGACATATATTTATCATTACCATACAGACATATATTTATCATTACCATACAGACATATATTTATCCCTATCAACTCTCAGTCACACCTTTACATATGCATGTAGGTCATTCACTACCTATTTGACTCAGATTTTTGCTTCCATTCACATTCATATAAATTAATATAAACTAACTAAAATATTTAATAAATGTAATATTTATCAATAAATAATTTGAAAACTAACAAAATATAACTAATGCCATTTAAAAAAAAAATATGTTTACACTGACTTGACTGTTAGGGTATAATGCTAAAATTCTGTGTACACCTTGACCTCATTGAACACAATTTGTAGCACTGCCCGAGTACCGTTGATAGACAGGTTAGCTTTATTACAAGTCTATGCAATTTGTCCATGCCATATCTTCTCAATGAGTTTTCCATTTTTCAAGATTCAAAAGCATCATCATTTCACATTTAACATACCAGACAATTTTTTTGATACATTTGGAATAAAATATTGTTTTGAAAACTTGAGTTCGTCTTGCTAAGCTAAAATGCTATCAATGACTGTGCCCAGTGGCAGATTTGGCCCCTCTGTGGTAGGATAAACAAGTGTGATATTGATATAGGCAAAATTGTGACAATATTGCATAGAATTTCTACTGAAACACTTTTTTCATCTATTGTGAATTTTCCAAGAAAATTTTGTGACTTTCAATAAAAACCATGACATTGAAAAAATACAGCTAAACCTTGCGTTGCAGAATCCTGATAACAAGATAAATCAATATATGGAACATAACTCCCTTTTGATGCCTGAAATGTTAAGATGCATTGGTCCTGATATCTAAATCCGTGTTTTATGTCTACGAGTCTCCAAGTAACATCGGCAGATGTTGTGCTAAGAGCCACTAGCACTAATTGGTATTACTACGCCTTGTCTTTGTAAAACACGTAATACTTCCAAGATAGCATCCAATTCTGTCCGAAACTTTTGAATTTCTTTGTTTTTAGATTCCACTATTTTGCGCCATTTTTGTACTGCATGTTCTAGCTGGACACTGGCCACCTGTTTGGCGTTTCTAATCACTTCCTGTAACTCCTTCTCTCGCTGTTCATGGCGCTGCTCCATGTTACCGATCTTCTCCTTGATTGAATCAAAATGTTTCATTTCCTGCGAAAAAACAACAACGACAACAGAATTATAACGTGTTTTCAACAATATTGAATGAAGTTATGATACAATTTTTCATAACAACAATAAAATTGAAATACGCTGTAATTGACAAGTTTGATCCCTGAAAAATGTTTTTTTCATACTTTTACATATATTTTTATATTTGCAGCCATGATATTAGAAGTTTACTAAAACTTTGAAACAAGAGTGAATATTTCCTATCTTGTCAAGGAAACCTTTTGTGAAGCCTACCATACACAACCTGAAGATACTGTGTGATTACATGGCTAAGACCAGGACACAACCTCAAGACACTGTGTGATTACATGGCTAAGACCAGCTGGACACTTACTGGCGTCTGACACAGCTTAGCTTCTTTCAGACATTCCTGGAGTTTTTCCACATGAGTCTTTAGTCCCGCCTCCCGGATCTTCAGGATGGACACCTGCTCACTGTCCAGTTCAGCCTTAGTGAGCCTTTCCTTGAGGTGATGCACCAACACCTGGAATCAATTTCAAAGGAACACAACATTAATAATAATAATAATAATAGTTCAAGGTTCTTATATACCGCTTTACCACATCCTAGTTTGTAGGTCGTCTCAAAGCGGTTCACAAATTATTACATTAACTTCATATACAAAGGAGATGGATCAAGTTATATTTCATATAAATTAGATTTAATGAATTTGCTTCATATTAGACATCGTATTAATTAAACTTGCATTTATTATATTATATATCCACAGGATTTCAGAATGGATGTTTAAAAAAAAAATCTGAAAAATCAGGGAAAGTGTCTTCACAAATTATATAAAAATCAGCTTTTCAAAAAATGACAAAAATATTTTGCATCAGGATAATATTGGATACTGACCTGAAAAGCCACAGGATGATGTCAGTATTAAGTTACACAAAATGACGCCAAATGTGTAGAAGTTTTTGAAATTGTGATCTTAAGCTTTGTTAATGAATTAAAATTATGGCATTTTTTTTTTACATTTTTTTTAAAAATGTTTTCATGTCAGTTAATAATTTCTAAATCTTGAACACAATAATAATAGCATTTTCAATCATGAATTTCAACATTTTGAAGATCTCTGATGATAAAGCATTAGTGTCCATTACAAAAGTCTTGTTTTTTTACCTCTTGTGCATCGACTTTACTCTGAAGTTCAGCCATGCGTGATGTGGAATGGTTAAGGGCTTGGTCTGCAAGCAGTTTCCTGAACTCTTTTTGGTGAGAAGACCTCAGGACATCAATCTGTTAAGTTAATACCTCCAGTTAATATCTCATACTAACACCCTTGTAAGTCTGTACATTTACTATCCCATTTGATCAGCCAATGGAAATTAAAAACCTGGTTGTGCCTGTTTGTAGAACATGTATCTACAACTTTAACCCTTTCACCACTGTAGACCATAATGGACTCATCCAGATCAATGCATTGTAGAGTCTACTAAAGTTACATAGGGGTGAAAGGGATTTGACCAATGTTAGTAAACATAGGTTTCCTTAAAAACCTGACTTCGCTTTTTAACATAATTTCCAGGGAACTTTCCACATCATAACTGATGTTGTTCACAGAAGTTAACATTTTTATTGATAAATATTTATAGCAGTTTTTAACAAAGTCAACCAGTAAAAGAAAGTCAACATAAACATGATGTTTTATAGGAAATTATTGTCTAGAAACACATGAACAACAGACAAATGGATTGACACACTCCAAACACCTGGAAATTTTAATTACTGATTTAATTTATTAAAAGTGATTAAATGACCTCAACAACATACTGTATACTGGGAAATTATTGCCGCAGTTTAACCCTTTCACCCCTAGGTAACTTTAGTAGACTCTACCATACGTGTATCTAGATGAGTCCATTCTGGTCTACAGTGGTGACAGGGTTAACATTCACCTTTTCACCTGGCAGAATGAGGGCAAATTTATCAGGACAGTGAATTAGCATACAGAAGTACAGAGCAAACCCTATACACTAATTACATGTGAATGGCAAAATTTACACTGGAAATATGAATTTTACTGGTGACAGGCAGATATTTTACTGGGCCAGAGTTTCCCAGTTTATAGTAACAGAATTGGGGCAACCACATTCTAGTTTTACATTTCCCCATTAATTTACAACCAATTGAACTGAGTTATCAAGAGGCCAGGAAGGCCTAGTGTGTCTGACTTACTCTATCCTCAAAATTCTCCCGACTTTTCCTGGCCATAGCTTCAGACTCTGCCTGTAGTTTACGGAGTTCTAGGCGCTGCTCATCATAGGCTAACTGCAGCTGCTCAATCTAAAAGAAATAGTCAATTATAAACTAAATGTGTGGATATGGTGTTATCAAGTACTTACTACTCAAAATGCAAGACAAAAACAGGGAAGGATTATAAAAGCATGATGCTATAAAATCTGAATTTTTCTCAACTGGATACTTTCACACACCGGGCACACAATATGTATCTTTAATTAAAAAGGTCTTTAAAACTTTTATAGCTTTGACCCTGTACTCGCTTGAACTGGAGACTCTTGTTCCCCTGTATTATGTCTGTTATATTGTCCTCGCCCTAGGCGGCTGGTTCTTAGTGTCTGTGATATAATTCTCACCTTAGACTGGAGACTCTCATTCACCTCTACTACATCTGTGATATAAATCTCACCTAAGACTGGAGACTCTCATTCACCTGTACTTAGTCTGTGATACAATTCTCACCTAAGACTGGATACTCTCATTTACCTGTACTTAGTCTGTGATATAATTCTCACCTAAGACTGGAGACTCTCATTCCCCTGTACTTAGTCTGTGATATAATTCTCACCTAAGACTGGAGACTCTCATTCCCCTGTACTTAGTCTGTGATATAATTCTCACCTAAGACGGGAGACTCTCATTCACCTGTACTTAGTCTGTGATATAATTCTCACCTAAGACTGGATACTCTCATTTACCTGTACTTAGTCTGTGATATAATTCTCACCTTAGACCTGAGGTAGTCATTCTCCTATTCTTGGTCTGTGATATAATTCTCACCTTAGACCTGAGGTAGTCATTCTCCTATACTTAGTCTGTGATATAATTCTCACCTTAGACCTGAGGTAGTCATTTTCCTATACTACATCTGTGATATGATTCTCACCTTAGACCTGAGGTAGTCATTCTCCTATACTTGATTTGTGATATATTTCTCACCTTAGACCTGAGGTACTCATTTTCCTGCAGTGTTTCTGTGATCTGACTGTCGGCAAAGCTGTTTGGTTGGTACTGTCTGTCCCTGTTGACACGATCAGTGAGGGACAATGCCTCCTCTTCCTCCCATGCCTGGTTACTCTTCTTGTTCTTGTCTACTTAAGTAGATATCAATAAAATTAGGATACACTTTAACACTGGAATAATTACCACTGGTTTCAATAAACTGTTACTATCAACATACAAAACAGATAAACCTGTCCAAATCGAACAACAACAGGAACAAATACGAACAACACATTTCACACTGCACAGTACTCAATTGTTTAGCAAAAGGTTTGTTGTAAAATGATTCATTAACATTTATAGGATTTAACCCTTTCACCCCTATGCAACTTTAGTAGACCCTCCCATGCATTGATCTGGATGAGTCCATTATAGTCTACAGTGGTGTAAAGGTAAATTATTTCAACAATATAAGCAATTTTTTTCTTTCAAACTATCTTGTAGACCTAGAAACCTACCTTTTGGTCCAGAGGAACCAGTAACTGGCAGATTTTTCTCCTTGCGTAGTCTCTCCACCGTCTTTACTGCCACACCAAGGTCATGTGACTTACTGTCGAGATCCTGTTGTAATTTGTGGATCTGGGTCTTGTACTCTGTTTCTTTGTTCTTAGAGAAGCTCTGTTCATTTTTCAAGGTTGCTGTAATTTGATATAAAAATTTAATAGATAAAGCTCTTTCAAGTTATGATACCAGAATTTCAAAGTCAAGCAGAAATGTCCAATTATTTCTTAAACTACATGTAGATACATTTAGGTGGTTCATTTGAAGACAGAAAAAAAATCAACATTTTTTTTTTGCATTTCCAGATAATTTTTAAAAATTACACATGGAAAATTTATGTTAACCACTGGAGTTTGAACAACTCTGTCCTGGGTTCATTATATTACAGTTTGCCTAATGATAGATTTAGTAAATCTTAACTAGTCAAATTACGTAATTGTATTTTGCAACTTTTAAGAATGAAAGTGAATGATATCTGTTTTAAATAATGGAAAAGGTCTCTTTATGATTTTATTCTCTGTGTAACTGTGTTCACATTAAGTAAACTGAGAAGCATAGAATACCCATGCAGTATTTGTCTGTTTAAAAGAATTCTATAGGTTAACATCAATTTACGAAAGACACTTGAACACTCTATACATCATGATAAATGATAAAATAACTTTTCCATTTGAGGGCTATTCCAAATACTTCCATAATCTAACAAAGTCAGGAAATTCATGTAAAGTGTCAGAAATCTGAAGTCATCACTACCTTCCTGTCCTTTTGAGAGTTTGGCAATCTCCGTATTGAGTCGGCTGACCTCCTCGGTAAGTTCTGTGTTTTTGGCCTTGTATCGTTCTCGAACACTCTCCAACTCTCTCTGTAGAGCAACAGCATGTGTGTGTGGATGTTGGTAGTCCTTCAGAGCGTTATCCTCGGGACGTACGTATATAGCCAACTGTGTCTCCAAATCACGTATACGCTCCTCATACTGATTCTACCCGTAATAGAAAATTCTCTGCATAAATTATGCTATACAAACTCTTTACTTAAATAGTCAATTACTTGTGTTTTAATGTTACATGATGTTGATCTTGAAATCCTGATACACAGTTTTCATGGTCCTGAACGCTAGTTCAATCTCCTGTTGAGGATTATGTTGTATTGATTAATGTATATGCTAATTGTATTCATTGTATTAATTGTATATCTATGTACTGTAAAGCGCTTTAGAGTGGCTTATGTTAGCTAGATAGGGCGCTATATCAAATGTTGTATATTTTATTTATTTATGTCTTACCTTGATGCTGAGGTATTTCTGCTCTACACTACGTAACATCTTCTCCGCCTCCGTGTCCTTGCCCTCGAGTTCCAGCTCGAGCTTTTTGATACGGTTCTCCAGGACCCCCATTGTAGGTGTCTTTGTCGCTGGTTGATGTTCATCAGGAGCTACAGCAGCTGTCATGATCAAAGCAGGCAGGGAGTTTGGATGTCGGCGACGGATAATACCTTCCATCTCTTTTACCTTTTGTTAAAACAAGTTTCTAAATCAAACCAGTGCAAATCGGTTTCATTCGACTACAAGTATTTTTATTAAAATAACCTTCCCAAATTTTTTAGCACTACCTAACCCTGTTTTAGAGCTGCCTTAATTCAGAATTATCCAAGTCTTATCAATAAATGTACTTTTATTTACCTATCAATTGTAGCATAATTTAAATCAAAATATTTTCTGTAATTCCCTGGATAGGTGTATCCCCACTTTTCATATTGTGAGATATCCTTGGCTCACCATAGGGCTGAGACAATGGGATTCCTCATCATAACAATTACAGTCGTCATGTCAACAGTGCATTAACATCACATCAACAATGTTTTGAGCCCTTAAAATATAAACTTTATTTATTTTACAACAATTATAAAACAAGTTATTTTAACTTATACTAATCACTCTTGTTGGCCCGGATGTTAGCGCGCGTAGGGTCTTAATGTGGGAGAAAAACGGAGTACCTGGAAAAAACCCATGTGGTCGGGCAGGTTACTCCATACCTTTTCACGTCCAATCGGGGAATCAAACCCCGGCCGCAACGTCAACATTCCTTTATATATAAATGACAGGGTCAACAGGTTAAGAAAAATCATCAGAGAAGATTCTTCAGTTGGTAAACAGTTGGCATGTTTCATGTTTATCAACTTAAGTATCTTCCCACTCGGATTGAGATCCAATAAGTTGGTGAAGGATTCTATTACCCTTATATTAACTTTATTCATTTTACAACAATTATGAAACAAGTTATTTCAACTTATATTAATCACTCTTGTTGGCCCGGATGTAAGTGCACGTAGGGTCTTAATGTGGGAGGAAACCGGAGTACCCGGAGAAAACCCACATGGTTGGGCAGGTGACCCCATACCTTTTCACGTACGATCAGGGAATCAAACCCTGGTCGCCTTGGTGAAAGGCAAGTGCGCTATCCACTGCGCCCCCGACCACCGACGGAACTCTCCTGGAAGGGAGGTCTATTTCTCACCTGTCTCTGCAGATCTTGGATCCTCTTGGCATCATTAGCTCGCTCCTTGGCTCTCACCTTGTTATCCTCTAGTCGACGCCCCGTCTGTAGGTAACACAATTACATTATCAACATATTATCTACTACAGAAATATATCAAAATAAAGGAAAAGGATTGCCAACATAACTACATCAAAAATAATGAAAAACGGATTGTCTCAGTTATTTTTCTGCTCATTTTACCAAATTGAGTCAGTTATAGTGATTTCAGCGATTCAAAGTAAATGTTCGATAGCAACATTCCCAGATTAACTAGAGGCTGAATTTAACACTTCAAATTTGATTATAATGATGGGCGTTTCTCAAAGAAAGGAATTTACTCTTGGCAGTCAAAAATTGGGTGTTTCCGAAAGAAAGGATTTTACTTTGGGCAGTCAAAAATCAGAGTGTACATGAGGATTTAAAGGACTACACAATGACATATCCTGGCAGTATCACAGTCTAATAGTAAAAAGTTGGTAACTGATTTTTCATAGGATACCAGATATCTGATCAAGAAATATACTATTATGCTATCAGAACAAACCAGTTTGAGGCCAGATATCAATGCTTAAGACTATTTTCACCTGATCATTTTTTTCATTTAATAGATATTACTAATTGTCTATAGACACATGTCCTATAGGGAACGCAAATATATTAACAAACTAAAAAGTCACTCTTTTTCCAAGCTTTCGGGCTTAGCCCTTCGTCAGGGTTTAAATGTCACAGGATATAGAGGTCCAGTGACATTTAATCCCTGACGAAGGGCTAATCCCGAAAGCTTCGAAAAAGAGTGACTTTTTAGTTTGTTAATAGATATTAGTTTTTACCTCTGAAGTCAAATGTTCAATTCGTAATTTGTGCTTGGCTATTTCCTCTTCCTGGTTTTTCAAATGCTTCGCATCGGAGTCCAGTAACTTTTGGTTTTCGGCATACCATTTAAGTTTCCTTGTGAGTCTCTCATTTTCTGATTTAAATTTGTCTTCAATGACCTTCAAAACATAAAATTGAAGTAAATATTAATATATCATCCAATTTTCTATCAATAACTGAAATTTATGACAGCAGAGAAAAGAAATATCATTGCATGTTATGAATTCAACTTCTACAAAAAGAATGATATTGATCTGCATCATTCAGCTTTAAGTGAAGAAATCAGATGAAGGCGACAGTGTACATATCGTACTAGTCATCGCATAGAAAATTGTATTGGTTGTGTAAAAAGAACTTTTCATAACTCTTACTCACCCTGACCTCCTCTATGTCTACACTGAGTAACATTAACTCACCCTGGTCTACTCTCTGTCTACACTGAGTAACATTAACTCACCCTGACCTCCTCTCTGTCTATACTGAGTAACAATAACTCACCCTGGCTTACTCTCTGTCTACACCGAGTAACATTAACTCACCCTGGCCTACTCTCTGTCTACATTGAGTAACTCTAACTCACCCTGGCCTACTCTCTGTTTACACTGAGTAACATTAACTCACTCTGGCCTACTCTCTGTTTACACTGAGTAACATTAACTCATCCTGGCCTACTCTCTGTCTACACTGAGTAACAATAACTCACCCTGACCTACTCTCTGTCTACATTGAGTAACATTAACTCACCCTGGCCTACTCTCAGTTTACACTGAGTAACAATAACTCACCCTGACCTACTCTCTGTCTACACCAAGTAACATTAACTCACCCTGACCTACTCTCAGTTTACACTGAGTAACAATAACTCACCCTGGCCTACTCTCTGTCTACACTGAGTAACAATAACTCACCCTGACCTACTCTCAGTCTACACTGAGTAACATTAACTCACCCTGGCCTACTCTCTGTCTACATTGAGTAACTCTAACTCACCCTGGCCTATTCTCTGTCTACACTGAGTAACATTAACTCACCCTGGCCTACTCTCTGTCTACATTGAGTAACTCTAACTCACCCTGGCCTATTCTCTGTCTACACTGAGTAACATTAACTCACCCTGGCCTACTCTCTGTCTACATTGAGTAACTCTAACTCACCCTGGCCTATTCTCTGTCTACACTGAGTAACATTAACTCACCCTGGCCTACTCTCTGTCTACATTGAGTAACTCTAACTCACCCTGGCCTATTCTCTGTCTACACTGAGTAACATTAACTCACCCTGACCTACTCTCTGTTTACACTGAGTAACAATAACTCACACTGACCTACTCTCAGTTTATACTGAGTAACATTAAATCACCCTGGCCTACTCTCTGTCTACACTGAGTAACAATAACTCACCCTGGCCAACTCTATGTCTACACTGAGTAACATTAACTCACCCTGGCCTCCTCTCTGTCTACACTGAGTAACATTAAATCACCCTGGCCTACTCTCTGTCTACACTGAGTAACATTAACTCCCCCTGTCCTCTCTGTCTACAATGAGTAACATTAAACCACCCTGGCCTCCTCTCTGTCTACACTAAGTAACATTAACTCGCCCTGGCCTACTCTCTGTCTACACTGAGTAACATTAACTCACACTGGCCTACTCTCAGTGTACACTGAGTAACAATAACTCACCCTGGCCTATTCTCTGTCTACACTGAGTAACAATAACTCACACTGACCTACTCTCAGTTTATACTGAGTAACATTAAATCTCCCTGGCCTACTCTCTGTCTACACTGAGTAACATTAACTCACCCTGGCCTATTCTCTGTCTACACTGAGTAACAATAACTCACACTGACCTACTCTCAGTTTATACTGAGTAACATTAAATCTCCCTGGCCTACTCTCTGTCTACACTGAGTAACAACATTAACTCACACTGGCCTACTCTCAGTCTACACTGAGTAACATTAACTCACCCTGACCTAATCTCTGTCTACACTGAGTAACATTAACTCCCCCTGGCCTATTCTCAGTTTACACTGAGTAACAATAACTCCCCCTGGCCTATTCTCTGTCTACATTGAGTAACTCTAACTCACCCTGGTCTACTCTCTGTCTACACTGAGTAACATTAACTCACACTGGCCTACTCTCAGTTTACACTGAGTAACAATAACTCCCCCTGGCCTATTCTCTGTCTACATTGAGTAACTCTAACTCACCCTGGTCTACTCTCTGTCTACACTGAGTAACATTAAATCACCCTGGCCTACTCTCTGTCTACACTAAGTAACATTAACTCGCCCTGGCCTACTCTCTGTCTACACTGAGTAACATTAAATCACCCTGGCCTACTCTCTGTCTACACCTCTCAGTTTACACTGAGTAACAATAACTCCCCCTGGCCTATTCTCTGTCTACATTGAGTAACTCTAACTCACCCTGGCCTACTCTCTGTTTACACTGAGTAACATTAAATCACCCTGGCCTTCTCCCTGTCTACACTGAGTAACATTAACTCACACTGGCCTACTCTCAGTGTACACTGAGTAACAATAACTCACCCTGGCCAACTCTATGTCTACACTGAGTAACATTAACTCACCCTGGCCTCCTCTCTGTCTACACTAAGTAACTCTAACTCACCCTGGCCTACTCTCTGTCTACACTAAGTAACATTAACTCGCCCTGGCCTACTCTCTGTTTACACTGAGTAATATTAACTCACCCTGGCCTACTCTCTGTTTACACTAAGTAACATTAACTCACACTGGCCTACTCTCTGTTTACACTGAGTAACATTAACTCACACTGGCCTACTCTCTGTTTACACTGAGTAATATTAACTCACCCTGGCCTACTCTCTGTCTACATTGAGTAACTCTAACTCACCCTGGCCTACTCTCTGTCAACACTGGTTAACATTAACTCACACTGGCCTACTCTCAGTCTACACTGAGTAACATTAACTCACCCTGGCCTCCTCTCTGTCTACACTGAGTAACATTAACTCACCCTGGCCTATTCTCAGTTTACACTGAGTAACAATAACTCAACCTGACCTCCTCTCTGTCTACACCAAGTAACATTAACTCACCCTGGCCTACTCTCTGTCTACACTGAGTAACATTAACTCACCCTGGCCTACTCTCTGTCTACACTAAGTAACATTAACTCACCCTGGCCTACTCTCTGTCTACACTGGTTAACATTAACTCACACTGGTCTACTCTCGGTCTACATTGAGTAACTCGAACTCACCCTGGCCTACTCTCTGTCTACACTGAGTAACATTAACTTACCCTGGCCTCCTCTCTGTCTACACTAAGTAACATTAACTCACCCTGGCCTACTCTCTGTTTACACTGAGTAACATTAAATCACCCTGGCCTCCTCTCTGTCTACACTAAGTAACATTAACTCACCCTGGCCTACTCTCAGTTTACACTGTGTAACATTAACTCACCCTGACCTACTCTCTGTCTACACTAAGTAACATTAACTCACCCTGACCTCCTCTCTGTCTACACTGAGTAACGTTAACTCACCCTGACCTACTCTCTGTTTACACTGAGTAACATTAAATCACCCTGGCCTACTCTCTGTCTACACTGAGTAACATCAACTCACCCTGACCTACTTTCAGTTTACACTGAGTAACATTAACTCACCCTGGCATACTCTCTGTCTACACTGAGTAACTCTATCTCGCCCTGGCCTACTCTCTGTCTACACTGAGTAACATCAACTCACCCTGACCTACTTTCAGTTTACACTGAGTAACATTAACTCACCCTGGCCTACTCTCAGTTTACACTGAGTAACAATAACTCACCCTGGCCTATTCTCTGTCTACATTGAGTAACTCTAACTCACCCTGGCCTAATCTCTGTCTACACTGAGTAACATTAACTCCCCCTGGCCTACTCTCTGTCTACACTAAGTAACATTAACTCACCCTGGCCTTCTCTCTGTCTACACTGAGTAACATTAACTTACCCTGGCCTCCTCTCTGTCTACACTAAGTAACATTAACTCACCCTGACCTCCTCTCTGTCTACACTGAGTAACGTTAACTCACCCTGACCTACTCTCTGTTTACACTGAGTAACATTAACTCACCCTGACCTACTCTCAGTTTACACTGAGTAACAATAACTCACCCTGGCCTATTCTCTGTCTACATTGAGTAACTCTAACTCACCCTGGTCTACTCTCTGTCTACACTGAGTAACATTAACTCCCCCTGGCCTACTCTCAGTTTACACTGAGTAACATTAACTCACCCTGACCTCTCTGTCTACATTGAGTAACATTAACTCACCCTGGCCTACTCTCTGTCTACACTGAGTAACATTAACTCACCCTGACCTACTCTCTGTCTACACTGAGAAATACTAACTCACCCTGGCTTACTCTCTGTCTACACTGAGTAAAACTAACTCACCCTGACCTACTCTCAGTTTACACTGAGTAACAATAACTCACCCTGACCTCCTCTCTGTCTTCATTGAGTAACTCTTACTCACCCTGGCCTACTCTCTGTCTACACTGAGTAACATTAACTTACCCTGGCCTCCTCTCTGTCTACACTAAGTAACTCTAACTCACCCTGGCCTACTCTCTGTGTACACTGAGTAACATTAAATCACCCTGACCTACTCTCTGTTAACACTGAATAACATTAACTCACCCTGGCCTCCTCTCTGTTTACACTGAGTAACATTAACTCACCCTGACCTCCTCTCTGTCTACACTGAGTTACTTTAACTCACCCTGACCTACTCTCTGTCTACACTGAGTTACTTTAACTCACCCTAGCTTCCTCTGACTTGAGTGACTTGGACTCTGCCACCTGTTGCCTGAGTGACTCCCGTTCCTTGATCAACTTGTCAATGTGTTGTTCCAGCTCTATCTTACTTCTTTGTAGAACTTCCAGTTCTCGATTTGAGTTGTCTTGGAGACGCTGTTAATGCAAGATAATCATTGGCAATGTATGTTACATACCAAGACGAGGTAAGTAATAGTTTCCCTTAAACAAGAACCTCACACAATATGTGACCGAATGTTGTTCAATTATTTTGAATACATTTTTTTCTGAAACGGAATGTCCATATTAACAAATTCAACATTGATCTCATTCTGAAATATGGTTTAAGAATATTATGTCACAGAACGAATCCTTTGTGCTGTTGGATGTTATAAACTCGAGACCTCTCAGACAGTCTTAAAGTTTAGAAATCATCATAAATTATCACCTCTGCGTGCTTAAAAATGTTCAAAACCATAGCCCGAGACCCAGGTTCGCCCTACCTTTGCCTCCTTGAGTTCCACTGTAAGCTGGGCTATCCTGCCGGCCCCCAAAGCTGACGATGTGTCTCCTTTTGCTATCTTCTGCTGGGCGGGTAAACTGGTTATAATTCCCTTACATCTTGCCTCGTCTTCCTTTCTCTCTAATTTAGTTCTGTATAAAGTGATATAGTCAATTAATTTTTTTTACCTATCCTGTAATTAAATTTTTTCATCAGTGCTAACGTGGGTTATTTTTTGGGTAGTATCGCCTTGTTTAACAATATCACACACTAAGTTATATCACAACATAATGTACTTTGCCATATCAACTTTACATTATCACACTACCTCTCATACTATCAAATAGTGTTCAAACTGAATATATTTCACATAAACACAGATATACTTTTACTAATTCCAACAAGACATGAACTTCTATCTTCAATTGAAAAAATATTTACAGTAGAAATCATGGAGAGGACGAATAAAAAAAATCCAAAATAGAGCATCTTATTTACAATATTTGAAATAAAAAATTTACTGCCATGGAACCAAAATCTTAATTTTCCATAACAAATATGATTGAAAATATCTGAAAATATTAAAGGTCAATAAAATATCAATGGTTATAGTGCAGACCCTAAAATATTTCTCTAGAAAGACATCAATATTATGTACAAACCTCAGGTTGGTGATCTCAGTGGCCATTTTCTGGTTCTCTGTGAACATTCTGTCCTCTGTGGCCTTGACCTGTTTCTGTTGAACTTTGAGCTGTTCGTACAGTCGTTTATTTTCCTGTTGGTATCCTGCGATCAGCTTCTCCTGCTCCTGGATTTCACGGTCAAGTTTCTCCATCTGGTCTGGACTTACCTCCCCATTTCGATCTGCCAGGCGTTTCTGTATCTCCGACTGTGAGTCAGGTAGCTGTTGGTTATCACAAAACATCACCACCATTAGCCGTGTTACGAAAATCACAACTGGTAAAAAAAATGTCTGAAGAATTGGTCAGTTTTAGGATATGAAAATCAATCAATCAATTATATCTTAATGAGCTGTATTTTTTAAGCTACAATGAAGTTATACAACCACATCCATGAGTCAATTGCCAGAGATTTTTGCGGTACAGATGAACAAACACAAACATGTACCTCGGTATGCCAATATGATCGTTGACCATCTTATAATTCATGATTTATCGGTTTGTACGGCCAATAACTACGAAATTTCAACTGACTCTCAATACTACCTATCATTATTTCCTTATACCAGAAGTCTCTTCACTTTGCATCAAGGAAATGAAAGTCTAACAACCTAACTAAAAAATACTGATATCATTTCATTATCTTTTCATCTATTAATTATAGATTCAGTTGATCAGCAATCATGGATGAAATCAAGAATGTTGGTCTCCATGTCATACAGGAAATTACCTTAGCAGACAGCACATAGACTTCCTGCTTGAGTTTGAAAATCTGGTCCTCAAATTCAAGTTTCTGACTTTCAAGCATCCTATCATATTCCTTCTCCATCGCCAGCTTGTCAGCTAGAAATAACAACACAAAAATCAATCACTTCTCCATCGCCAGCTTGTCAGCTAGAAATAACAACACAAAAATCAATCACTTCTCCATCGCCAGCTTGTCAGCTAGAAATAACAACACAAAAATCAATCACTTCTCCATCGCCAGCTTGTCAGCTAGAAATAACAACACAAAAATCAATCACTTCTCCATCGCCAGCTTGTCAGCTAGAAATAACAACACAAAAATCAATCACTTCTCCATCACCAGCTTGTCAAAGCAGGGTGTATAAAAACGTTGATGTATTCCTATGTAAGGGTACATTCGCGTATCCGGTTGAAACGGTTGAACCGGGTGAACCTGTAAAGAAAACGACAGCATAGATCTGAAATGAGGCTGACCTCAGGAAAATTTGGCAAGTGTAGATTGAGCGGTCCAGACGTACCTGACCGAAATTAAAATGCTGACTATTGCCAGTTTGCGTTATTTATTTCTAAAACAATGTCAAGTCACATGTTATGTAATTCAGTGGACGGATGAAAGAAGGGCATACTATTCTGGATACATTGTTTTTTATTCTCTGAATCTGTGCTTTTTTAGCTCTGCCTATAGAACGGTCCAAGTGCATTCGTTTATCGAGGATATTTCTGCACCACACGTACCGTTTCAACCGGGATACACGAATGTAGCCATTAACAGCTGATTGCGAGTATGTAATCAAAAGAATCAGGATTGCTTTTATATGCTCACATCATCCAATCACTGTTACTGTAATTAAATACTTTTTTTTCAAAGACAGCTAGGAAACTTAAACAACCCGAAGCTTCTTTCACTAAAGTGAGCACCAATCTGTAAACTGGACAAACCTTTGAGTTTAGTATTGTGTGTTTTCGCCTCCTCATACAGCCTCTGCCAGTCCTGGTCAGTCCCCACTAATAAAGAGGGCATCTGGTCAGTTGTTTTGTCACCACGCCAACTGGCAGCAAGGGAGGGCTCATCCTGAGAGTACTTTGCCTGAATAATGCAATCCAAATCCCACACTGAGGTCAAAATTGAGATGAAAGCATAGGTCAGTGACCTACGTTTGACATAATGGTGTAGTAGTACTTTAGTCGTACACATGTATCTACCTATTCAGTTAAAGCGAAGCGCCCCACTGATCAACCCACAAACCTACAACTGACGTTGGCTCCATCACCTTTAAATTAATACATATTCAGTTAATTAATAATAATTAGAGGTTCTTATATACCGCTTTATCACAACCTAGTTCTTAGGTCGTCTCAAAGCGGTTCACAAATTATTATCCGTGGTTATAGGGCCTTTGCAAACAGCCAATATCTTTCTCAACTCCCTGGGGAGAATACAGCCGGTGCTGCCATTTCGGTGCTCACAGCTAGCATTCTACATTTCTAGCACTGCCCAACCACATACTCATTTACAGCTGAGTAGACTAGTGAAAGCGGAGTAAAGTATCTTGCTCAAAGATACAACACAGTGCTGTGTCGTGACTGAAACCTGCAACCCTTTGCTCACGAGCCCGGCGCCTACCACTAGACTACTGTGCTTCCAGTTAGATGAATGTTTGACTTATGGTATTACAGTTATGGAGCTATACACAAAGTCTAAACAAGAAGGCCAGGCATTAATATGTACAACAGGCTGACCAATGGAAAAAGATAAAGGTATCATGTGAATTGGCATGAAATCATCTTTATATCAATTTCTAATGCCAGTTTTCTAACATAGCCCATGTAAATATAACATGTAAAGGTTTAACCATTAACCCTTTCACCCCTATGTAACTTCAGTAGAATCTACCATACATTGATATGGATGAGTCTATTATGGTCTACAGTGGTGAAAGGGTTAACTCAATGATAATTTCTCTTGAAATGCCCCTCAATGATCTGAATTAAAGACCTAGCTTTGGTACGTTATAACAAGTAGCTGTACATCCACTTCTTAAACCTTAAAACTACTTCAATTTTACAGAAAAAAAGTATTTCTGTTAACGTAACATTTCACTTTTTATCACGTTTTCCTTTGAAAAATGACTTTAAAGCAAAAGAGGAGGAGGTGAACTGGAGGGTTGAGGAAGAGCATTACCTGGGGTAAGTCAGACTCCGCAAAGTGGTCCTTGATGTAGTGGGCGAAGGAGTCAACGGACGCCTTCAGCTGCGTCTCCATCACATTGTGGCCCTTCCTTTCCTTACTGAACATTGGCGAATCACTCCCTGGAAATCAATATAGCATTTAGTGCTGTATCTTATCTAACAAAGTATAATGCAAGGTACTCATTTGACATCAGAGTATATATGGAGATTGAAGCCTTTTCATCTAATCTTAAAATTACAAGTCTCTGTCTCTTTACAGGAAGACTGTTTGAAGCAAACTTTGTAGTGTTTAAATTAAAAACTAGACCTCTCAGGCTTTAAACCTATTCAATTATAGTCACAATGGCTTGTTAGGCATTAAAATGCAAATGCTCAGGCTAGTTTAATCCAAATCCTGCATAGTGCTCTTACATCTACCTGGTATTAGGTGATGGGGTCTCCTAAAAAACTATGCCAACAATATTTTAAACTTGAATTGACCTAAGGAACACGCTGGAACAATGTGTTTGATATCAAGAGCAAGACATTAAAGTATTGACCGGCTTCTCTATTTTTATTTGTACCTTTGATTTTTTGTTTGGTGACCTCTGCGGGTGACCATGTCTGGGCCTGCTGTTTCCGAGCTGACTGGTGTTTTGACTTGCCAGATTTACTTTTGTCCTTCTTTGTCTCTTTACGCACTGGAGCATTCTGATTTGTATTTCCTTCCTCCTCAGGGACAGGATCCTGATAATCCTCCTCTGCGGGGTAGGGATCTCTGGCACTGTGAGGACGGCCACCATTACCCTTGGGAGGAGATTTCTGGCCATACCCTGAACTCTTTACATGGGAAAACTTCAGACCTACGGAAAAGATATAAAGGCTATTTTTTATTTTTAACACAAACAGGAATTAAAAACTTATTTTGACAGCTTTCGAAAAAACATTTGTTTCATTTGTCAAGCAAAGAGTTTAAATGACCGGTGCCTCAACTCTAAACCGCTGAAAACTACTCACCAATGAGTATTCACTAAAGAGAATTTCTTCTCAGTTGATATGGTAACAATTTTCTAAACAAATTTAAATGTATGTACATGTGCTACTTTCTGGATACATTATATGTCATATGCAAGGCAATTATGAAAGTTAACAAAGATAATGAGGTAATATCTTTAAAACAGGTAGATTGATAACTTTCAAATGATGCTATAATATATAATATAGCATTTGTGTTTATATCGAAAAATATAACAATGGTTTATCAATTGTACTGACCTGTTTTAGATGGTGACAGTGACCTTGACCTTGGATCATCCTTGCTAAGTGAACGGGGTGACATCCATCGCCTTGGTGATGCTGACGGTGACCTTGACTGACTTCCTTTGAGTGATGACCTAGGTGAAGGTCGTCGCCTTGGAGATACTTGCTTTGGCGGTTTATCTTTTCCTTTCTCCAATTTTTCTGGTTTCATTTTCTTTTTCTTCTGACGTCCTCTTTCCATAATGGACTGTACACAAAGTGAAGGTAATTGGAAATTTCATTAGCAAACTAGTCCTTCAATTTTGTATAGAACCAGTTGAAGTAACCTGAATAATACAAGTATGTACATCAGAACACCTTTACTTGGAACTGGTAACTGACAGCCAATCAGAATTGAAGAACAGGCAATAAACTCACTACCGTTTATATGTTCCCAAATGAATGAAATAACTTTGAAATTCATGCCATAAACATAACAAATTACTACTTCTTTATTTAATAGATTCTTTTCTATTTAAACATAATAACTGTCCAGAACTAACCAATCACATTGGAATTTTATGTTCTCTTAACCTTTTTATATGCAATACAAATTAAAACATGTAATTCAACTAGTCATACCAGCATATGTATAGTTTGGGACATTCTTTATGCTATATCCTACTTTGAAAATCTATTTCCACTTACATCATACTACTTCTACCTCCTCATTCTACCGGAAAATGTATATCCTACAACTCCAGCTTTAAAACATGCTACTTTCAATATAAACAGGTTTTTTTTTCATGTATCTCCATGCATATGAAGCACTTACTTGGTTATTTTTCTTGAATAAAACACCTACAGTGTTATACTAGTAAAACCTAAACCCACACACAGCGTAGCTCTTTTGGCATGCGTTTAACTACATAACTAGGAACACAACAGCCAAACCCCACTGATCTGTGGACTATTTATTTGATGTGATCTCAGTGAATACAGTGAGGTCAATAACACACAAACCAGATCTCTTGTTGTTCTTAAGTGATTATGATGTGAAGGAACTATTTTCATATTTCTTTATTTTTTTTTATTTAAACCTGCTAATGCACAAATGCAAACTGGTATTGCCTGAAGGAGCAAGCATCATGCAGACTGCCTGACGGAGAGACAAACAGTGAAGCGGAACACTGATGGGTAACACCACACCTTGAACGTAACAGGATAACAGTTCAGGATCTTTCTCATATTTATTTTCATTTTATAAAATGAATTAGTAAGTATGGATGAATCAAAAGGAAGAGTAACACACATCATAGGATGAGGGATTTCTGTGAATGACAAAAACACAAGGGCAGATAACTCTTGTCTGTAGCCAGGGTATAGATGCTGGTTGGGAGGGCTGTTCCCTGGTTGGGAGGGCTATTATCAGTTTTACGTAGCTCTGAAGTGCAGTACATCACATAAAGCAGGCATGGCTGGCTCTGTACTTACCTTGGGTGTACTCTTTGACTCGGGCTTCAGATTACAACAACAAAACATTTCATACAACATAATATATAAACCGCAACATCTTGTCACCAAATATAACTAAGAGGTAATTTATAACATTATGGCTACATAAAGGTGAAAAAAAATATAACTGCTGAATTAAAATTCCTTTACATATATGTTTTGTGAAATGTTTACATAGCTGTAAGTCCAGAAATGTAAACTGAAGCAAAAAACAATGCTGTATACATTAAGATTGAATTGGATATTTGATGCTATCTGCTATCTGTACCAGCTGATGCAGCTGGGCAGACTAGATTGTATGTTTTACCATCTTATCTTAGTAAAATAACTTACCACTTGTGTGACAGGGTTGTATCGCTCTGTGTCGTCTGTATGAGAATGGTCGAAGCCCCTTGCTGAGTCTGGGACCGGAGAGTAGTCGTGTCCCCTGGTGCCTGTCCCTTCATCATTGTCTATACGGCGCTGTCTCTCCAGACCTGTCACATAACACCATACATATCACTATAAACCCTGATATCTAGAATACAGTGTTATCACAAAGTCAGTGCTAAGTCTCATGGAATCGTTTTTAAAGGTAATGATATTTTTGTACTATAAAATCTGCACTATTGCATGCTATAGAGAGAGGGGCAGTAAAAAAAAAAAAAGTGTCTTAATCGTTTTAATATACATATCACATACATGTATGTATACATGTATTTGTGAAGGTTGCATTGAGTTTCGATCATAAATTACACCCATATTTTTTTTTTTTAGATATATCAGGATGGATATCCTGTAAGTACGTACGGTGGTACAGAGGTACAGTATTAAATCACCATGCATGTAATTAGATAAATTCTGCTGATGTATGTTTACATATCACATTACATATTACATATCAAATACGAAACTGTTAAAATTACTCAAAATTTTCAAGCATACAAACAGGTTTGACTTTTGTGTAATTATCCTTGATTGTTAGTTATGTCGATTATCCAAGTCTCATATTTCCAAAAGCATGCTCTAAAAGTCAAACTAGTGTATGTATCAGGCGAATTCAACCCTTTATGTGGAAACGCCTGAGACAAGAATACACCAAAATAATGTCTGCTATATAGTGTCTGGGACATAAGTTTTCCAGATTATCTGTGTATTGACTAATGAAAGTTCCCCTGCAGACTCTAAACAAAAATCTGTCACTTACTTCTTGGACTTTTTGGACTGTATGGACTCCGTCGTCTGTCGGACAGAAGCTCAACATCCAAATCCTCTAACTGGTTCTCTTTAGACTTCTTCTCTAACCGTTCTACTTCCTTGAGTATTTCCTCTACATTTCTCTGCTTTCCTTTAAAAAAGAAAGTTGATAACATCAATCATTTAATTACTATAAACTATAAATGAGATTTTTTTTCCGTCAATAACTCATTTACTTTCAGGACAAATAATCAATTTTCATCAACCATATTTACGAGCACCAAACTACACCAAACAAAGCAGAAAGTCTGACCTTCTTTCTCTTTACTTTTCTGTGTTTTCTATTGCTTAGACACTCTATGAAAAAAAATACACGATTCTGGCTGATTAGAAATATTTGAGCAACATTTTTGGAGGGGGTAATGCTTGACAGGGAAAACTAGGTTTTGAAAAGTGTGATGTTACATTATAGTTTATAATTTTTAGATGACCTGTAGAAATATGCAAGTTGTACATGGACAGACTTAGTTATTCACAATAGAGATAAGAGGTTTCAGCCATCAGTTATATGAAAACTATTTATAAAGAAGAAATACCGGTTTATGAAATCTGTTGATGTGTATGTGTCGGGGGATGGAGGATGGGGTTGAAAAAAGTGTGTTATAACTACACTGAGAGAATAGAGCAGCATATTGTGCTTCAAACCTCAACTTTTACATACCTTTCACAACATCAGGCTTTTCAGAAATATTTTCTACTGGTACCATGGCATACAGGCAAACACCATACCTTAAGGTAACAATGTACCTGGTTCTAAACTAAGTACTTTCTGTATCGTTTGGTGTTTCTGTAAGTACAAATAACTTACCTGTCTTCAATGAAAGATGATGACAGGATAAACATGATAACCTACCTGGTTCCCCACTAAGCAACTTTTGCATCATCTCGGTGGTGGAGCGGTTGCCCTGTGAGGACAGGTCGAAGGGCTGTGAGTCGTTGTAGATGGTAGGGGACAGGCCTACCTCCCTCAGGGCCTTGTGGAGCGCCTCAATCTCATGGCTGGTGGTTGTACCCATAAACCCTGTACAAAACATACACAAATCTCTTTGTTAACTCATTCACACCTGAAGACACGTTTGAACTCCTCCAGTTCAAAGGTTGGAATAGTTCATTAAGAAATTTCAGGGGTGAATGAGTTAATGAACTCAATAAACATGCATATCAAAATTTTTGAAATTCACAACTTCAGTATTTCAAACATAGACAATTTGTAGATAGGTTATTAATAAATACATAATGAAGTCCTTTGTTTCACCTTCCAACTGAACAAATCATTTTCTCTCCATTTTTTTTGCCATTTGTTTTAAAATGTCTTATTTCCGATTCATCACATAGGTAGGAAAATGAGAAAAAAATACTTCAGCCAACCAAATGGCTATTTGAGATATTAAAGGTATTCTTGTAGACGAATTTCATTACCTTTTTTGAAACCTAAATTGCAATTTCCAGTTAGAGATGAAAAGCTTTTCTAGTAAACAGACAGTGATATTGCTTTTCCGTCTTTGCGTATTGCAGAGTTATCTTCTCTTGGGAGCAGGTATTGATTGTAACGTCATTGGTTTGTGTGGGGAAATTGCGTCGTTTTCTCAAAAATTGATGACGTTACACTCACAAACCAATGACGTAACAATCAATACCTGCTCACAAGAGAAGATAACTCTGCAATATGCAAAGACGGAATAGATGTGTCATGATCATCATACAATTAACAAGTCAGATTCTTTGATACAGATAATGGTTAATCAATGTACAGGTTCTGTATCTGACCACAGAAATAATGCACAACAACAAAAAGTATGGTTTACAAAATAGATGATACCATGCATTTATGTCAAATGTTCAAATTACATACATTTAAATATACAAAACAAAATATGTTTACATGTACAGTAAAGCTTACTCTCATCCCAAATGGAAAATATCACACCTTGATTCACTGAAGTCATAAAACAGCTAAGGTCATACAACAATATTTCATTATTGCAGACTTCTGTAGTATAAACATTTAAACTGAAAATCAAATATTCTCCCGAAAGGAGACCAGGGATCAATCTAGACCTGATTCACTACAGTTTATGGGTAGTTTCCCCTACAGAATAAAATTCCCCTGTTCTTTGAAATTCTCCCTATGTGCTTCAAAATTCCCCTTTCAAGAAGAAAATAGCAGTTTTACTTCAAAACATTTCCCCTCTATGTTTTCTTTAAAGTTAAACTGTTAAAATGCATACAAATTATACATTTTCTTCAAATAATTTACATAAAAATTCTACAATTTTAATATTTGTCTTTAACCTTCATGGCGCAAGAGCCTTGTATCAAAATATTAATTTCTCCCAAATCTGAAAAAGATTAGATTCCCCTAAAAAACTACATTGATCCCTGGAGACTGCTTCCTGACAAGTAGAAACACACACACAGCAACACTTTGCTTTAACTGCCCCTTATCTAAATGAAGTACACCCTCGATATATAACGCATGTTGATTTTATACTGTAAAATCTTTACACGTTTCTTATTTCTACACAGTAACATAATCTTTAAGCCTTGGTACTGTTCCTCTATTTGTTTTTATATACTTCTATTATTGAGACTATGAAAAGTAACATCTGTAGGATTTTTCTTGAACTGAAAAATATTGAAAAATATTTTCATCATGCAAGAAAATGTTTTCACATTATGCATTTTTTTTTTTAAATATTCTGGCAAACACTGGTGAAAATTGCTAAACACCATGCAGGCACACCCTTGGGTAGTGGTATTAAACATGAGTTTTATATCTAAATGTGACATTAGGACTTAATTAATACAACATACAAACCACTAGTGACACTTTACATCGTTATAATACACACAATACAGTACAGTGAAACCTGTCTATTTCTACACCCAATTGGACAGAACTAATCAGTAAGATTATACAGGTCATCAGAGTATGTACAATTATACACAGATTTTCTCTGGTAGTTCATGTAACATCATTATTTTGGATTAGACAGGGGTCAGATTAATCAGATTTCACTGTATGAAGGATGGTAAATGTATGTACTTCAGTCACATGCAACATCAATGTTTTTTAATGTAAATATATGAGGATGTTTTTTTATGCTTTACACACGTGCACAACAATTAAAATGCACATGTATATGTGTTGTATGTAAGTACATATGTAGTACGATGAAAAATGATAAATGACAGTGTAGCATACAGGGCCAACATAAAAAAGAAAAACAATTGATTTGGAAACAAAATGTGCATGATTTAGAAGCAAATCCTGGATGATTAAGAATGATGGTAAAGGATGACAAATTTGGTTGTGCAGTCAAGTGAAAACTTCTCTGTATTTCACATCTGGATGTATTATGATAGTTAATTCACACATTGTTTGGGGTTGAGTGCTGAATTAAGATTATTTTTATTCAAAGCAGTCACTGTTCGATCAACATGTAACTTGATCGCAAAGAAAAATGACTAAAAGTTCAATGATGAACACATTATTACTTCAAGTCATCAAGTGAGCAAAAAAAAGTGGAGAAAAAAAATCTTTAAAGGCAAGCTAACAAGGAACCAATTTTCAATGGGCTGGTGAGAGTTTGTGTCATTAAATAAGACACGAACAACACAATGATTGATACAAGTTCAGTATATAAATTATATATCAGGACATAGGAAAATTATCAAGTGCACAATTTTTAAAGGAAAAGGTAGAATTTGTATGTGGATGCAATATGGGGAAACAACACAGAATTAACAACACACAAGAAGGAAAGGTATATACCATAGGTATTTTCTGGAGACATTTCTGATCACAGGAAGAAAACAGTGATAACAGTAGAAACATTTTGACAAAGACAATTTTGTAATAAAAGTATGAAAAAGACACCTCAATTCTGAAACTATTACAATGAAACAATAACAGGAAATATGCAGTTTCGAATAATTATCAGAAAAATGAACATGAAAAATGACGAAATGATTGAAATTAATTTTTATGGTGATATCATGATCAACATAAACTTCAAATATGGATGAGAGGATTCACTGCAAGGATATTACACCAAAGAAGTCAAAGTCACAATATCAAATAGGTTGGAAAACAGTTTTAATAAAAATGAAAGTGTTCCAAATGAACTTTTAATATGATGTTTTGATGAAAACAGATTGAAGAATAACATTCGTGAATGAACATTGACACATATGTTTAAACATATTTTTAATGGTCCTCATTTGAATTTATAAAATGTAAAAAAGAATTTTAAAATTAAAATATTCGTTAAGGTTATATGGGTTCTTACTGCAATGTGCACCTTCTTTAAAAAAGAGTTCCACAAAATAAATCTGTTAGCATGTTACATGAGCTGTCATTTCATTAAGCTTTATATATTGATGACAGATTTAAAAGAGCTCAGGATTACTTTAAATGAATTATATGTTTAGTGTTGACATTACACCTAACTTCACATCTACTGTCTAATAATTTAAAAAGACTTGCTGTCTATATTTCTATAATTATCTATGTACAACGATTAAACATTCCAGCTGACACCCCCCACTACATGTGTGTAGCAGTATCTACCTGTGTGATGTCCGGAGTGTTGACCTCCTGGACCGTCCATCTCATCATTGATTCCTTGGTCTCCGCGATCCCCTTTTTCGTGCATGCCGCTACGACCGACCATTGGCGACCCGGTTGTGTTCATTGTAGACTCCATGGAATCCATTAGCGACACTGAAATTAGTACAGTTAATAACTTGTGTATTTATTTTGGCAAGCCTATGTTCTAAACATATGTGTTATTCAAGTACAAGTTATGTAGAAGGGATGAAATCATAAAATTACCTATCTATGTTGGTTTCTGAAAAATGACCTTTCACCTCTAACATAAGATCAGTTCTGAAATCACTGGTTGTAAGGTTTCTTTGAAATAGCCCTAACCAAGTCCAAAATAATAACATTTTGTGGTGTATTATATATTTTTTGTAATTCTTGTAAAAAAAATAAAGAATCAACACTGCTTATAAGATTGAAGTATAATGGAAATCCCTAAATTAAATTCGTAAATGCATTTCACAATACATGTATTATAGGACCAGTATTTTAAGTCATAATGCATTGTATAATGAAAGATCTTGTGCACAAAAACTGTACAAAGTATCTCTTATCATCACACAGACTGAATAGAACTTTATATTCAGACAAGCTATTTGGCTGTCCCGTTCCCCATGTCTGCATTGATGTAAATAAAATTGGCCTAGATCTTCACATACCTTTTGACAACATGCTTGGTTTTTGAGAAGGATCCTAGAAATAAACATGAAAACATATTTGTATAACAAATCAGTGTTTAATGTGCAATCAACAATTGACAAAATCAAAACAAACAATCAAAATGAAAACAACAAAGGTATATATATGATATTGACAGAAATGGAATTAATTAATAGAATATTGATAAAAATTAAAGCAATTTTGACAAAACTGTTAATTTATATTACCCAGGCACATTGCCTGTCAGGGATCTAAAACATGTGTTGTGATGCCTTTCCCTCTCCTGTTAGAAGACCTTGTTAACTTCTCTATAATAGCTATTTCTATTATAACAAAGACCTTACCTGAGTGATTTGCTCATCAGACTGCTGGGGGTCAAAGGGTCTGTTTGAGGGAGTGGTGAGTGGCATATCTTCTTCAATGTCTTCTAATGCGGCTAGGGTGGCAGCTGTCTTGGCAGCACCCTCCGGAGACATGGTGGTGGCTGACTGACTCAGGTCCTGGTTCAGGCGTCGGAAGTCTAGCGTTCCATCAGCGTTTTTCTCAAGGTCCTACAATGTTACAGTAAGTAACATCAATGTGCATATTAAAGTATACTTCTAGTTCCTTTTCTTTACAAAATACAAGAAATTTGATCTAAAATGGTGTTTTAAACAGGGTAAATTCTTATGATTTAAGTTGAAACAGGTGACCATGCATGGTTCACATACTTTTTCCAAATAAACAGTTGTTCAGAGAACTAAAAAAATATTCAAAATGAAACAAGAAGCTTCTTTCCAAAAATATCATAACACTTGTTTAACACTATGATTCAAATCTAAGCTTGTTTTTTATATACCAAAAGATTTTAAGAAAAACAAATACTCAAAACGTGTATGGCATATTTGCATTGTATATTTACCCTAAAAAAACTTTCTTTATCCCTTATTTCATCAAGTGTTTCTAAACCTGGTCGACCTGAAAAAAAAGCACCATGTATTAGATAACAAATTCGGCCAGGACCAAACATAGATGATGGGATTTAAAACTAAATATTTGTGGATTGACAGCTACAACAGAGTATGAATAAACAGAGACAAGGTCTGCTTTAAAGCAAAGAAACATAGAGCTCTTTTTAGTCAAAGATGCATTACATAACCTAAAATCTGAGAACAGAATGAAGAAACAATTGTTATTTAAACAAAATAATAAATATGTCATATAAAACAACTATTGTACATAGCCGAAATCGACATCAATTTTGTGGACAACTCGTACACATTTTACACCTTTGTGTGCATACGCTTCACTGGTCGTTTGTCTGGTGAAGGTGACAGTGTACATATCGTACTAGTCATCGAAACGTCACATAGAAAATTTTATTGGTTGTGTAAAAAAAAAAATCATAATCCATACTTTCCAACCTGAAGAAAATGTTTAGAATTTAATATGTAAGTGTGTAACCAAAATACAGTGATAATTGAGCTTATCATGATCAGCCACTGCCTAGTCTTATGTCAGATAGGATGAATACTAACTTGTTTTCTCCGACCCAAAGCTGCTCTCCTTTCCTGCTGCCGCAGCTTGCCTAAGAATGTTAAAATGTTTCATAATAATTCTGTGTAATATCACGATATCACAGTATTAATTCACAAGTCTACTTTAAAATACAATACAGACAGATCCCTTCAGTATCTAGTTATATGTATATGAATTCCCGAAAAATATGTATACCACGATCAAAGTGTTTCTTTTGAGGATATTGATCGGTATATATAACTTCCCACAATTTTTAGAACCTTAAAAAGAGAAATCAATTTTATAATATAAATCAATCCTGCCCTTGGTAAGAGCTAGTTTTTATTTTTTATTTTCATAGTTTTTTAATTTTCAAGCATTTTCAAAGATATGTTACATAGCATATGAACACACCACACGCATCACTCATTGCATGCACACCATTCATCATCATCATCATCATCATCATCATCATCATTACATCATCATCATCATCATCAAGAGTGAGGTTATACCAGACTACACATACCTGTCTTTATTGCTGTCCTCCTCAGATTTCTCAGAAACTGCAAAAACAAAGTTAGACAAAGTCAGCTAACTAGGATGCTGTAGGAACCCCTGTAGATTTGGTGTTTTCTTCTGAGTCCTCTGCTTAACGGAAATCGATTAGACCAAAATAGGTTTGCTAAATGAATTTCATCATCTGGAATCTTTACCTATTCCATCTGTGCTATTTCTATAACATTTATGCTTCAGTGCCCCACTTGACCCGTGTACTGTTTACAGTTTTACACTGTGTTGCCCTGTGTGATTTCATTTGTTGCTGAGCTATTAAGACTAACATGTGCATCACCATTTTGCAATTAAATGATTTCTGTAAATTGAGCATTAAAATTGGTTCAAGAGATGGATTTACATGTTATGCTGACTAGCAAAATATCTTAAGGACGTGATTACTGAAACTAAAACCTTCCTACAATCTAACATCATTACAGTAACGACTTCTAAACAGCACATTATGGTGATTTTCTCCATAGTGATAGGAGATTTAAACAACACGCACCTGAAAAATTATCAACAGTATCTGATTTGAAAATTCATGTACACCAAAATCTTTTTGATTTTGTACTTCTCTTAAATTTCATTATTTCTTGTTTCTAACTATGGCAGCACATGATCTTAGGTCTAAGGCGAGAGTTGGCTAAAACATTTTGCAGGAACTCATATTATCAATATACTGATTCATTGCCTTGTGGATGAAGAACTGAGATTCATACCCAAATTGTCTTTGCAACAGTCACTTACTGTCTTCCAGGCTATCCTTGCTCATGGATGTCCCTGTGTCTCCCCGGCCCCGCACCCCTCTCTGCTTAGTCTGCCGAAAAGAAACCCAAGCCCGTGTTCAACATGTAGTTAAACACAAAATATATGGGAAATAATCGAAATAATAAATCATTTGACATTACAAAATATTTGAAAAGGATTAATATTTCTCCTAAATGTACTATAAAAACACTGTGATCAAAACAATGTATGTTATTAATGATGAGGGTGACTCAGAAACAATGTATGTGCTTAATATACTGATTTCATTAATTTTTTGCAATGTCACATTTTCCCGAAATCTTACTCTCTTGTTCACAAAAGATGATGTGTTGCTGAAAGGAAAACATTTTGAAAAGAATTTGTCTGAAAAAAAATGTGCAGAGTTGGATTTCCAAAATGTAATTTGATTTGAAACAACAATTCCATGGAAGTTGATGCAACACCTGCATCAGTGTAGGTGGAATGCTGGCTGATTGTAATGTACTCATGTTGAAGGAATGAAATGCAAGACTTTTGCTAATCATGTAGTATCGATCACATTGCAACAATTACAAAAGTTTCATCAATATCTTAATATTTGTCTCACAAGATAGCCTCTCGAGTCACAAGATAGCCTCTCGAGTCACAAGATAGCCTCTCGAGCCACAAGATAGCCTCTCGAGTCACAAGATAGCCTCTCGAGTCACAAGATAGCCTCTCGAGGCCATCAGAGAATCAGATTGCAGCAGCCTCATTCAGTATGCAACTAATCTGGCTGAGCATTAATGAAAACAAGGCAAACTGTCAGGATGTACCTCTATTGTTCAAAGTTTATAGGTCACAGTGAGGTCATAGTGACCTACTTCTTGCACTTGCCATCCCAAAATGTCCTGGCACACCAAATATGGTTACTCCAGGTGAATCAGTATAGAAGATATCACCGGACAAATATTTTCAAAAGTTAAGGTCAAAGGTCAAGTCATAGGTCACAGTGACCTTATTCTTGCACTCTGCACTTTACCATCCCAAGATGTCCTTGCACACCAAATCTGTTTGCTCCACGTGAAATAGTATAGAAGATATTGGACAAACTTCTTGGACGAAAAGACAGAAGGAAGGATGGAAGGAATGAAAGACGGACGAGTGCAAACCTATAGCCCCCCCCCCCTGGAACCAGTGGGGACTAATAATGGAGAAATAAATATACCAGCCAAGTTTCATCAGAATACATTAATTCCTTAAACAGATTGAGTGGAAACAAACTTTTAGGTCCTGTTCACACACTTGTTGGGTGTCTGGGTTATACACAGTTCAGTCTTAGAGAGATGACATGCAAGAGCAACTGTTTATAGCTTGGAAACCATGCTTAAAGCACATGCTGATGAAATTGCAAAGTGATCACCAAATCATGAAGAGCTTCATGGGTTATACAAAAAGATTTAAGCAAATGCCATATAAAACGTGACATATCAATCAAGCTCTTTTGGTATAGGTACATTATAGGTATTAACGGCAAAACCTTCACATAATGCCCTTTACTGGCTTAGTGCCAACATTTTTCAATTTACCTTTTTTTGTCAACAATTCCTAAGCATCTGTTTATATGTTGCTCAACCCTTTATAATGCCAAAGATTGGCTAGATGAATGTTGGCAGTATAATGGGGTTTAACAGTAGTACTCTCAGTCTTATATACGATGTTAGACATCACACTTTGTTAGCTTTTATATTTACTGCAGGTTAAAACTCTCTAAAGGTTGAAATAGTATTTACTACAGGTTAAAACTAAGTGGGATTTCCAGTAGATGATTCAAGGGGGAAAAGATTGCGTAGGGAAATAAATAGTACCACACCATACATATATTACAGGCTGTAGCGTTTCGCAGTATGAGACAAAAATTGATGATCTCAAATTGACAATTCATACGTATACAGTGAAACCTGTCTAATCTGAAACTACACAAGGACACAATGTATCAGGTCATGTTAGACAGAATGTCAGGATACACAGTTCTTTCAGGTAGTTTTCATAAGGAACAGGATTGTTATGTCGATTTTAAAAAGTATGCTGGAATACTCAGGTCTTCTCAGGTAGAAATGGGATTACAGATTTATGTTGAATACTGATGGAATACTCAGGTCAGATTAGACAGGTTTCATTGTACTAAGTAACATCCAGTAATACTAACATCTAAACATGCAAATACAACAGCTATATGTTCCATGCTCATACAAATAATGCCAAACATGAAAATAATCTGTTAGCGACTTCTTTTGGAAATCTTCCTTTGACCTTTTTGATCAAAATACAAAATATGCAGACAATTTTTTAATGTTTGGCATTAATAATGTGTATCATGCTTTAACTAACTAACAGTGAAGAATATAACAGACAACGAATAAATAGTCAAAGATATATGTAATAAACAGAAAGTTGTCCCAGATATACCATGGCAGCAAATTTACCTTCAAATGGGTCCTCTGTAATCAAAGTGCAAGATGCATATACATAAGCTCACAACATCAACTTTAAAGTAAAATTACCAATTTGAAATGTTAAACCTTCATGTTTCTGGTCATCTTACTAAGCTTTCTTTGGACAACTCATACTTTATTCAAAATATGATTTATGAAATAGCTTAATATATATAAACATTAAGCAATAATATTTAACATGAATGTATATTCTACTGAGGTACTGTCCTTAAATGACCAGAGATGTTGATAGGACGTTGAACGAGCCATCCTTGTGATTGTTTGATGAAAGAATTCAATGACTGTCTTTAAATGTCTGGCTTTTCACAGACAGCAGGAACAATACAAGTAGTATTCCGTCTTTGCGTATTGCAGAGTTGTCTTCTCTTGTGAGCAGGTATTGATTGTTACGGCATTGGTTTGTGGGAGAAAATTACGTCGTTTTCTCAAAAATTGATGACGTTTCTCTCACAATTCAATGACGTAACAATCAATACCTGCTCTCAAGAGAAGATAACTCTGCAATACGCAAAGACTGAATAACTATTTCAAATTTGATGTTGGTGTATCTTTCTCTGATTTTTCTCACTTTGAATTGTACTGTTATACAGGTATGTGTATCCAGTGGTCATCACGAGGCCGTAAAGTGGCCATTTATATTAGGGTACATGTATCATAAAGGGCAGGGACAGTGATAAAAATCTACCTTCAAAATGAAAGCCATTTTTGTACATCATTGTATATATTGAAAGTTTACATCTTCATGTCTATTAAAAGCATGTGTAACATGAAACATGAAGCATTAACATGGCTTTTGGAATTGATGCACAGGGGTGTACAATTACAATATTGATCGCATCACAATGACATGCACACAACATATAGAAACAGAAATAAATCCTTTTAACCCTTTCACCACTGTAGACCATAATGGACTCATCCATATCAATGCATGGTAGAGTCTACTAAAGTTACATAGGGATGAAAGGGTTAAGTACATCCAAGATAACCTTGGATATCTATTCATCCAGATAAAGGAAGAAAAATGACTTCACATTACTACCACAAACAGATCACTATGCTAGCTAGAATATTTTCAAACATTCGTGTTAAAAAACCAGAAAGAAAACAAAGCTCATTGACCAGTAACTATCAATTATAAGTATGTACATGATACATGTACCAGTATTTTATCAGAGTAATGTTTAAATGCAAACAAACCAGGAACATGCAGAATCAATGATAACTACATACCACTACAACAAACAGGTATCACTACATGTAGCTAGACTACTTAAAAACATTCCTATTACACACAAAACATTGCTACTACCTTCAAGACTTAACTCATCACATACATGTGCAACCATTACTGTTTTAATGAAAAAATTGGTTAAATATAATAATTTTGGAAAGATTCTGACATTATTCTATTGGAATAAAATCCTACCCTTTCTCTAATAACTTGAACATACCTCCTTCTTGCCGGTGCGAGCTTTTTGTCGCCCCTGCTTCTCCTCTGGTGTGAGTTCTGGAGTGGAAGGCTCCACTGGGGTAAGGGGTGTCTGTTTCGGGGTACTGTGTTTGGGTTCGGCTGGCTTCTTCTTCTTCAGAAAGCTTTTTCCACTTGATGTCTTGCCTGATCGATGACACAGTATTCAAAAATTTGTGATCACCTGACCTTGAACTTGAACAATTTCAGTAAAACTATCACTCCATATTCCCATAGTAATTACTAGCACTGTAATCTATTAAAATCAAACATCAAAAATATCTCAATGCTTTTGATGGTCTTATTTCATATTAAGTCCAGTTTTCATTATTTTCACTTATAGGAATTTAATTTAAATTTATTGCAATTTCGTACTTAAATATAGTAAATTTAAATTGTGAACGTTTTCTCAACTCTTATTATTTTCATTCTCAAGAAATCAAAGATCTGGGCCCGTATTCATGAAACCGTTCTCATGCTGAAGCATGGATTCTGTGCTCAAGCCAGCTTTCTTGTAACTCATGGCTTCTAGTTTCTTCATTTTTTGTCCAAAACTTTAACAAAATAAAGATTTTTTAAATAATTTATAACTGGAACAAGAAATTAGACTTGAGCACAAAATCCAGACTTGAGCATGAGAACCGTTTCATGAATACAGGCCCAGAATTTGTCTTTTTTGGCAATTATTGATTATGCTTTTAATGGCTTACTTAACCATTTTTTCACTACTACCAATCATCATTTCAGTGTTGTCGATAACAACTAGTACTTCTTAGTAAGTTTTATATATATTTAGCAAACCTGAGCCGAAGTTAGCTCCCATATCATCATCGTCGTCGTCATCGTCACTCTGCATCCACCAGGGCTTGCTTTTACTTTTTGGTGTTGTCTGTTCCTTGGGTGCCAGGTGTTTGCTGACTTTTGCAGAATCCAGGGATCCATCATCGGATGAAAAAGACTGCCAAGGACAAAATACAACTGACTTAAAACAGAAAGTTATGTACCAGGTAATTAAAGTGCTCAAGGGGGAAGGTTGGCTTATCAAAAGGACATTGAAATAACATTTGTTGGCTTTTTCTAAACATTTTTTCCAGGTTGGTAAATATTGATTTTGGAAGAGTTCTTTTTACACAAACAATTATTTTTTCGATGTGACGTTTCAATAACTAGTAAGATATGAACACTGTCACCATCATCAGACAAATGACCAGTGAAGTGTATGCACACAAAGGTGTAAAATGTGTACAATAGTTGTTATATATGTACCGAAATGACTCGATTCAGCTACGCTTTGTTTAATACTTGGAATCGAGTCATTTCGGTACATATATCACAACTAGTGTACATACGCTTACAGCATAGCTGAATACACATCAATTTTTGAGGACAACTCATACACATTTTATACCTTTGTGTTCATACACTTCACTGGTCATTTGTCTGATGAAGGTAACAGCGTACATATCGTACTAGTCATCGAAACGTCACATAGAAAATGTTATTGGTTGTGTAAAAAGAACTCTTCATAATAAATAAGCGTTTGTTGGCATTTCTACTAAACTGCAATATATATGGATGAGTTTATTATCAGGCACAGGCTTATTGCCAGATAAATATGGTACGTATGTATGTACTATACTGTTTTATGCAGCGTCTTTCTGCTTTATTGTATGTATTGATTAAGTCTGAAGGCATCTTGAAATAAAATTTCATGTAACGAAGTCCTGATTATATTGAAAATACACTTACTATGATAAAATGAAAATTTTATTGTGTACCACAAATATTGCAGAAACTCAAATATAAGTATAGCATATATAACTTCAATAAGATTCATCAGTTTGGAAATATGTGATATCAAAGGTTTACTTTTTACACAAACAATGTACGTATTAAACGTGTCACACCGTTTCAAGACCGACTGGTCCCTTTCAAGTTTGTCAAGCTATGACTGAGTGAGCGATTTGTATTATTTACCTGTACAACGATATCACTGCATCAGATAGGTTACATGTAGGGTGTAGATATTGCCCCCTTTTTTTCAGGAAAACTCAGAACATGAACAGAAACAAGGGGGACACCAGCTGAGTCATCTGTATGACCCGATACTGACATAACAGGGGAGGGGGCGAACAAAATTGTTTCTGAATGTAAAACAATGAAGGAAACAGATGAATGTTTTGCGTGGAAAAGCATTGATTACTATGCATATTTTTAAGGTCTAGAGGCTAAAATCTGTAACTGGAACCACGTATATAATACAACTCTATATACATTTACAAACCTCCTTCAAAAAAGCCTCAAACTGCCGATCAAATTCTTTTTTCTTTCCTTTTGGTGGCATGATTGTTGATTATGTGACCTTTATAAAAATAAAACAAAATACATGTTCTTATAAAATTGTGATATAGAAACTCAATACGCAAAACTGCTGATCAATGTAGACCTGCAGTTCACATATATTTCATAGTCAGCGGTTTTTACTTAGGAAATTAACCAAGTCTTAAATATCTCTCAAATGAACATCTAATGACCATTCTGCAATATCTACCGTTACTATATTGTACTATATTGTAATGGGCACTGTGCAGTCAGTATAACTGCTAGGGTTGAACAGGGACATATAAAGCAGTTAATGTAGTATATACGTCACTCAATAATGTTGTGTCCTTGCAAACTGCAATTGAGTGGGATTATTTTGAGTACACAATTTTGCTCATAACAAAGTAGTGATAAGTGTAAATGCACAAATGGAGTTTATATATCAATATGATGCAGACTATGTGGTATCTTAAGTCTTAAGTGGTAGGACTCTGGGCTCGTGACCGACGGGTTGCGAGTTCATGGCACGGCACTGGGTTGTATCTTTGAGCAAGATACTTTACACTGCATGTTCGAATCTACTCAGCTGTAAATGAGTACGTGGTTGGGCAGTGCTAGAAATGTAAAATGCTAGCTATGAGCGCCGAAATGGCAGCATCGGCTGTATGCTCCCCTTGGAGTTGAGAAATATATTGGCTGGTTGCAAAGGCGCAATAACCACGGACAATAATTTGTGAACCGCTTTAAGACAACCTATGAACTAGGTTGTGATAAGGAGGTATATATATAAGAACCTCAAATTATTATTATCATTATTACAATATTAAATGGTAGTAATACTTATGTCAAAAAGCAATGAGTCATAGCATCATACTGATCATGAGCTGTGTACACTTCATCACTTGTAATAGACCCGATCCAAACCTGCTCAATTGAATTGGCTTAATTTCCCTGATGCAACCAGATGTGGTAATCTTACTAATCTATGATCGTGAGTTATTTATACACATAAACAGTACTCAGAGATATATATTCACAACGTAGTGGAACTGGACTGGACCAGGTAGCTCAATTGGTAGAGAGGTCAGCAACCGTCTATAGATCAGAGGGTTCTGAGTTTGAATCTGGGTGTGGTCATGCTTCTCTCTTTTCCTGTTACAGTGGTGACTGTGACCAACCCATGTCTCAATCATTGAGTGTGTGCTTGGCAAGGGGATACCCGAACCTGTGTTGTAACTAGTGATGTCTTTGGGGGCGAAGACTTGGAAAAAGGAGAGAGGAATGTATATGGAATTCAGGACTGGGTTGATTGTCAGTGACCAGGTAGCTTTAAATTGGTAGAGTGTCTGTCTGGAGTTTGGAGGGTCACGGCTTCCAATGCCAGTCTGGCTTTGCATTTCTTTTCCTAATTTTAGCACATCATTTTATGTGTCTTTGATGGGTTGATGTAATGTAGTGCCAAGTTCTATATAAAAAAATGATTGAATTTGAAATCCATAGCCTTATACATGTAAGTAATCTCATTTCAGTATCTTATTCTTATAATATGTGAGCATGTTTATATCATAACTATACAGTACAGTACTCTGTTCTGTGTGTTATTGTTTACTGGTTCTGATGCTCTAAAGATCTCTGATCAACATATTGTGAAAACAAGCAAAGGCAGTACATGTACATAATGAGAAACTCTTTCATATTGTAAAACAATCTACCCAATGTATTTATTTTTAGAGTGAAACAACGTTATACCGAACAGACAATCACTGATGAACCATATAATAAAAAAGCTGCCGTAAGACTCCGTTCTAATGGTCTACAGTACAGCCTGTAGCATCTTTTGTCAATTTAAAACTTACGATTGTTGTCAAAACGGACAAGTTGTTACATGTCAACAAAGAATATATATTTGTTTTTCGTCTGGTTTGTGGATATTTTGGTCATTTTATCAAATTCCTTTCATGTTGACATTAAGAAAATATCGGCTAATGAAAATGCATAAAATGTGTTAGACGGTTTATATCATAAATACGTGGAACGTACCTGTCAAATTTTGGGCCTCATATTTAGCATTTTTCCAGTAAACACGATTTTCGACCTTCGTTTAACAAAGAGTTCCAAAACTTCTTCAGTGTTATCTCCCCCTTGACCGTGCGTAGCACTGTCCCTTTCATTTGTTTTGTGACCTATGAAACTCAATATATATGCATTATTTCTGATTTCTTCATCATATTTTTATCATAATGAGATAATGTTCTGAGCAAAAGATATTGTTCAGTTATGTTATCCCCATCGCATGAAACAGAGAAACATAAAATATTGTTTAAACTAACTCTTCAAAGCGCAAGCATTGTCAGCTTGTGAGTGGTAGCTTAATATCTAAAAATCAGAAATATAATATTAAGTACATATACATCTCAGCTAAAATCTAGGTTTTTTTTTCTTTATACATATGTCATGGAACATATGATGATTTTCAAGTATGTTTCTTTGAGGTGATTATTTAAAAATCAGTGATTGTTGCTGATAATGAATTATCTTTTTTCATAATTTTTAGTTCAACTGATGCAGTATTGACAAAAAAAACACCGTGAACACATCACAAATCATGACCCATGTATCACAGAGGATGCAATTCCTGCTTTATAATCATGAGATTCAGGGAAGGAATTACCACAAAAATGTTTTTGTGGGAAAAAAGGAATTATGATAAAATATTTCTATCGCAATTAACTACTAAATGGGCAATTTAAGCAACTTCAAGTAAGAGAAATGCCAACTGTTTGTTGTTTATAAAGAGATGCAACACAGCAGGACTGCGACATTAATCTTAATTAACATACACACTTTAGCTATTATGCTCTATATACTGTCCCTGCTTTAGGACTTTGAGTATTGACCTACTTGAATTTTCTGTATATAACATTTACTATATTGTGTATGCACTATAATTCCACTTTTGAAGTCCAGATAGTGCTGTTGCACGGGCTCGAACCAATGACCCTTGGCTCTCCAACCCGATGCTATATGCCTGAGCTAAAGGGAAATTCCCTACAGCTGACGCTTGTAAGGCAAACTAATTAATACAGTCCAGCTAATGCATCTATTACTATTATAGCTGTTGACAAGTTCCATGAAAATGGTACATGTAATACAAAAGCAAGCAAGTACCTTACTTGAGAAAGGATTATTACAGATTCAAGGGAGCAAACCCAAGTACACTCACTGGTGCGGTACAGCAAACACTAACAAGAGGCCCAGAAGGCCTGTATCGCTCACCTGAATATAGCAGTCATAGCAAAATATTCTCATTAAATATTATATTGCACTACAAATATTTCCCTTGCAAACTTTGTCGGCTCCATCTGTTGAAACTACCAGCCAAATAATATTTTAAGATTCTATGCATTTTAGTTTTTCTTCAGAAGTTGTTTGACACATTTTTCCCTGTGACCTTGTAAGTAGGTCAATGCCATTTTCCTTCTCAAACTTTGTTAGCTCTATCCCAGGAAGCCACCAGCAAAATATTATAATTTTATGCCTTTCAATTATTCAGAAGTCGTTTAAAGAAATTGACATATTAGACCACTGTGACATTGAAAGTAGGTTGAGGTCATTTTCATTTGCAATCTTTGGTGAGCTCAATCCCAGGAAGCCACCAGCCAAACATTATAATTTTATGCCTTTCGATTATTCAGAAATTGTCTGATGTTTTGACATATTTGACACCTGTGACCTTGAAAGTAGATCATGGTCATTTTAATGAGGAAATTTATAGCACTCCATCCTAGGTACCTACTGGCAATATATCATGACCCCATGTCGTATGGATCTTGAGAAGAAGATTGTTAAAGTTTTTAACATATTTGACCCGTGACCTTGAAAGTAGATCAAGGTCATTTTAATGAGTAAACTTTATAGCATTCCATCCAAGGTACCTACTGGCAAAATATCATGACCTTATGCCTTATGGAACTTGAGAAGATTGTTTAAGTTTTTAACATAATTGACCCCTGTGACCTGGTAAGTAGCTATAGGTCAAGGTCATTTTAATGAGGAAACTTTATAGCACTCAAGCTCAGATACCTACTGGCAAAATATCATGACCCCATGCATTATAGAACTAGAGAGGATTGTTAAAGTTTTTAACATATTTGACCCCTGTGACCTTGAAAGTAGGTCATGGTCATTTTAATGAGGAAATTTATAACACTCCATCCCAGGTACCTACTGTCATAACATTATGACCCAGGGCCTTATGGAACTTGAGAAGAAGATTGTTAAAATTTTTAATATATTTGATCCTGTGACCTTGAAAGTAGGTCAAGGTCATTTTAACGTTATAGCACTCCATCCCAGGTACCTACTGGCCAAATAACATAACCCTAGGGCCTCAAGCTCTTCAGAAGAAGTCGCTCAAAGAAAAAGTTGATGGACGGATGGACGACGGACGCCGCAGTACGGCATAAGCTCACATTGTCCTTCAAGCCAGGTGAGCTAAAAAGGAAATGATAAAACAACGGCTCTGTAGTCCTGGCTTCAGATTCTTCAGGGAGGGCAGCTATAACACATAACAGCCATGTATCTTTGATAGGGGCTGACCTGTGGTGGTCTTGTTTTAGATATAATACTTTCAGGGTCCAGATGTTCAAAACCCAATTACCTTAACACAACTCATCCATCTAATATACTTGTTTGTTTGTTTGTTTGTTTGATTTTGTTTAACGTCCTATTAACAGCTAAGGTCATTTAAGGACGGCCTCCCCTGTGTGCAAGATGATGCATGCGTGTAGTGTTTGTGTGTGTATTTTGGGAGGCTGCGATATGTTCATGTTTGTCTTCTTGTGATAGCGCGGAACTGATGCCGACTTTATAGCGCTCCTCACTGAAACATACTGCCGAAGACACCCAGCAGGACGCCCCACCCGGTCACATTATACTGACAACGGGCGAACCAGTCGTCCCACTCCTAATTTGCCGAGCGTTAAGCAGGCGTAGAAACTACCGTTTTTAAAGACTTTGGTATGTCTCGGCCAGGGGACAGAACCCAAAGCCTTCCTCACAGGGGCGAACGCTCAACAAATGGCCAAAAGTGAGGCATTGTCAAGGGAGACAATAGGAAGAAGAAAGTTATTTAGAAAGGAGAGAAGAGATAAGGTCCCAAATTTAGTCGCCTCTTACGAACTGTATATATTATTTTAGAAATAAATATTGAAAAATATTAAAATTGTCTGTTGATATTCAAAAAAATCATCTACAGAGAGAAGTACATTTCTCAAAAGATCAGATTTTGAACATTTTGTCAAATACCTATAACATTTTGAACAACTTTTCACAAAAACAAACTAATTATATGACATCATTTGTCAAAACATTTAGAATTTAATGATTATGACTGCAAAAATGTGTCAGATTTTTTCTTTTTCAAAAAGTCCTAAAATCAAAATTTGAAAAATTCAAATCCAGTATTGTATCAGCCTAAAATCTTCAAGTCTTCATTATTTTTCTCATTGAAAAATTGTTGATTCATCCACTACGAGACACTCCAGGAAACAATCACTTTTCATGACGGGTAAAAAAACAACAAATGAACTTTTTTTCACACATATGCTTTAATATCACATTCAAATCTGCTGTACATTTTCATCATCCAAACAATATCATAACAATTTTTTCTAATGAGTTTTTTTCTTTTCTTGTTGATGATTTACAACTGGAAACCTCTGACAAAACAAGCAATTGATGGCTGATGTGTGAACTGAAAGTGATGTACATTATCATGATGAAAAAAACAGCACAAGCAATGAAGTTTGTAAAATGATGTAAATATATACATAAAACATGGAACAATATGATGCTACATGAGATTGCCAATGACAAAATAATTTTGGTAACACTTGCTGAGCATCCAGCACAAATCACCATAAATAATAATATTTAATGATCAATATATCGCATTTAAAGATTAATGCTGTCATACTTCTCAACTTGTATTATGATGATATATTCATTACATGTACTGGAACAACAATTTAGAAAAAATGAATGGTTTCAGTTTGGAAAAGTTGCAAAATGTCTGATTGTAAAATCAGCTCAAAATACTTTGAAACTTTTTTTTTATAAATAAAATCCAAAATTACAAAAAAAAAAAAAAAAAAAAAAAAAAAAAAAACCTGATAAAATAATTCCAAATTCAATTTCCTGAAACGATTAATTAATCAAGCTAGGTGATTAAAATGATGAGTAGAGGCAGTGTTGAAATATCACTGAAGAAATATCTTGCAAAAATTAACAAAAAAATGTCGTTTAATATCAAACTTGAAAATATATATATGAAATAAACATTTTACAGAAAAAGATGTCTGAATGCAACATGAGGGACCAGATGTTTTGCTCTGAATAACCAGACTTATAGATTGCACCGGTTCAACTTAGAAAAGACTGTGTACAGAGGGACCTAGTTAAAGGTTTCATTACACAGGTTTCCAGATAGTTAAAACAGAACATCAAACTTAAGGATCCCTGTCGCCCTGCAATCTGGTTTTTCTTATATACAGTAACCTCCCCTTAATAACATTTTGGATATACGGATATAATTGTAGCACTAACGTTGACCAGACCGCTCAGTTGGTAAGAGAGACAGTGTCATAAATTCAGGTTCTGGGTTCGAATCTCAGTTTAGACCAGCTGAACGTTTTAAACTCAGAACACTTGTTGTTTATCTTATCTTATCCAGAAAATCAGTTTCCAATGCGTAGTAGGGATCCATATTACAAATGTTGAACTTGAAGAGTAACACAAGTTACACAATTGACATCTATCAAAATATATCTGGATGTATGTAAATCATGGATATGATGTTCAATTCTGACAATTTTCTTGATGATAATCAGTGCTAAAACATCGTATCATTTCTATCTTGGGTAAAAAATATTTCCACAGGTAAATTGTAATTATCGTCTGATGAGGAATGTGTAACAATTCTACAACACAATTTGTTGACATTATCAAAAATACTGAATTATTCTAATTAGTGTTGTGTTCAATAAACAATATTAGCTTACATTTTAACTTTGAGGTATTATTTCTTGTTGCGTCCCATGACCTTTACAA